GTCATACATACAAAATCAAAACTGATACAAATATAGTAAGTGATATAGATGCAAAAAATCAAATTAAAGGAAGGAGATGTAAGGAATATACCCATCGATCTGCTCTAAGCCACCACCAACATTCAGATGTTCGGGTAAGGGGTAGATCCCATAATAAATAGCAGTCACAACATTATTGAACCACCGAAATAGTCAGATAGGAGGAAAATTATCAACGATGATAAACAATAAAAAAAGGCTTTGAGAAGAAATCACAGCGAGAAGTAACGAGACCATAGCAACTTGCGCTAAGAGAGGTTATCGGATGGTCTGAAGATTCTTTAGATTGGTTGTACGGATGAAATAAAGTGGATGATGGAAAATGTAATCTTATACTCCGTCGAGTGTATAGCTTAGGGTTTAAAATGGGTCAGTGTAAATGGTGAGTGTTGGTGGGCAGTGGGCTGAGCTGGGCTCATATGGGCTGATAAGGTCTGGATTGATAACAGACGGAGTATTAATTATTATTGCTAATAAGTTTAAAATGCATATATATTGTAATAAAAATAGAGGTATTGTGTAAAATGCATATATATTGTAATAAAAATGGGGGTATTGACAATTTGTATTTATTTTTATCAAATAAAAAATTATTTGCAATTATTTATGTTGTTATTTAAAAGTGCATGTCCTGAATTGTGTAAAAAGGTGTTTAAAATTTGATGCTAAAAATATTTGTGGGAAAATTATGGGTTCAGAATTTCTTAAAAATTAAAAAAAAAAAGGTTTTATTTGTGGAAAAACTCAGAACCGGTTTTTTCCGGGTTTACGGGGGGTTTGGCGTCCGGGTCCAGACCGGGTTTTTGCGGGTCAATCGGGGTTTTTTCGGGTTTTAACTAATCGAACAAGACTTTGACCCGAGTTGACCCGACCAGTTCGGGTCAGTTTTTTAAACACAACTAATAGTATTAACAAATCATTTTATATAATAATAACTTAATATATGTCCCGTGCATCGCACGGGTGAGAATCTAGTATGTACAAATAGAAAATATGAAGATTCAATTGATGGATATTTCTATGCTTTGAATTTTTTTATCAATAAAGCCCAAGACGTTTTTTTAGCAGATTCAAATCTTAAAATAAAGATTTCATAATTAAGTTTTACATTTTTGAGTTAATGTTTCAAAAAATGTCTAAAACATCATATTACAGCCACAAAATAGAAATGTCATATCAACGCAATACCATGTTATCATGTAGAAGAGATTTCTGATAAAATGAGTTTGCGTTGTAAATTCACACTAGGATAGTTTGTTAATAATACACGGTTAAAACATCTAAAATGATATTACAAAAAAGAAAAATTAAACTGAGAAAAATACTATTTCGCGATAATTTAACTATGAAAGTAAATGATATTTTGACCGTGAGGAAATTCTTTATGTAGCAACGAAAGCTCCTCCAATAGCTTTCACTTCTAGTTCTTTCATCCTTTTCGTTATTGTTTGACATTAGAAACATAATACATGAGTGAAGAAATAATTTGCTTCTGATCATGCTAATAACATGTTAATATGTTATTACATATCGTTTTTTCATTTTGTTGTCCGCGACACAGGCATAATTTTTTTGCCAAGTGTGAAAAATGATTTTTTTCACAAAACAAAAAATGTCTGAAGACAAACAATTTGACCGGCGTGTAAAATACTGTGTGTACAAACACCATTTTCCTTGACAGATATGCACATGATGAGGATTGATCTAGTCAGGGGAACCTCTGGCCGGCCATGCTCGTTTGAGGGTCTTCTCGATGAATTTTTTTGATGAAAGTTTATGAGCATGTTCTTCATCAAGTATAGACTGTATAGTTTATGCTCATAAAATTTTAGCTTAAAATTCAATCAGAAAAACAGTTAAATGAATTATTGAAACGTACTGCATTGTGTGTGTATATATATATAGAGAGAGATTTTGGTTCAAGTGAGAAATGCATCTAATGTGAGAAATGAGAATGAATCTCAGCCATTAGATTCGCGAAGTTGCACTAAAAATGACTTTATGTTGCAGTGATATTTAAATTTTGCAAATGTTGCACTAAAACTGTTTCATGTTGCACTAATATTTGACGGTGTTGCACCAAAATAGCTTCATTTTGCACTAGACACGCCTAATACGGATTTTTCGGAAGTATTTACAGAAATGCCACCGTGCAAGATTGCATATTTCAGTGCATCATCAAGTGTCTTTTACTGCAACTTAGTTCAATCCAATGGTTGAGATTCATTCTCATTTCTCACCTAAAGGGTTCTTCTCACTTGAACCTTACCCTATATATATATATAGAGAGAGAGAGAGTATGAATCAAACAAAAAGTGGTTCCTAGGTGAAAAATAAGAACTAATATTGGCCATTGATGTGAAAAAATGGATGGAAGAGATCAATTTTTAAGTTGGAAACGCGGTGGCATTTTAGTAATTATGAAGAACTTTTATTGAAAATATTGTGATAAATGTGTATCAGAAGAGTCAAAAAGTGCACACGTAAAGTACAAAAGTGCAATACAGTACGAAATAAAAAGTGCATAAGTTGGACAATCTTTTTTCACACGCATGAGTGCACTTTTAATCAGTAACTATCCACTTTATAGTATAAACATTTGCACATTTTTTGAAACCATGTCATGTGTTTAAATTTACTTGAACCCCCCCCATATATATATATATATAGATGTATATATATATATATATATATATATATATATATATATATATATATATATATATATATATATATATATATAGGGGATAGTTCAAGTAAAAATCAGTCTTCCCATGAAAAGTGAGAACAAATCTTGGCCTTCCATCACTTGAAAATGGATGGATTAGATGAACTTTAAACACGAGAGACGATTTAAAAAATGTGCAAACGTTTATACTATAAAGTGGATAGTTACCGATTAAAAGTGCACTCATGCGTGTCAAAAAAGATGGTTAAAAGTTTCCAGCTTGTGCGCTTTTTATTTTGTACCGTATTGCAGTTTTGTGCTCTACGTATGCACTTTTTGACTGTTCTGATGCACATTTGTCACAATATTTTCAATAAAAATTCTCCGTAATTACAAATATGCCACCGCGTTTCCTACCTCAAAATTGATCTTTTCCATCCATTTTTTCACACCAATGGCCAAGATTAGTTCTTATTTTTCACCTTGAAGTACTTTTTATTTGAACCAAACTCTCTCTCTATATATGTGTGTGTGTATGTATGTATTTATGTATCAATGTCCCCAATCATTCAAAAAAGTCCCCAAATGACCTTGGTTGGATGACTGTTTACATGCGGCCCGCCTCAAGGTTTGTTTGCAAACACTACTCACAATCACTTTTGAACTTTTTTAAGGCTCTGTTTGCAATCACTTCATTCACTTGTGTTTAAATAAAAGCACTTTTAGGAAAAAAGATTAGTAATAAAAGTTGATAGTGTTTGGTAAAATAAGTGTTTTTTATGTAATAGGAAAAGTAAAAAGTAGATTCTACACGAAAACCAAGAAAGAAAAAGTTGGTAGCGTTTGGTAAAATTAATATTTTTTCTTAAAAAAAGATATAATCACTTGTATTAAGTGATTGCAAACAGAGCCTAAGTGTTTTGGAAAAAAGTGATTAGTAGTTAAAATTGGTAGTGTTTGAGAAAAAACCGATTTTGAAAAGTAAAAAGTGATAGTATTAGATAAAATTAGTGATTTTTGTGTAATAGAAAAAATAAAAGCAGATTCTATCTTTTAACTTTTAAGTGTTAATATGAGTAGAAATTATCATTTGAAAATACTCTTTTTAGCTTTTTTAAACGAAATGTTGGGAAACATTTATGATTTGTAACCCTTAGATTTATTATCTCCACATAATTACATGACAATGAAGTCAAAATTACACACCACTTATGTTCAAACCTTTTCAAACAAAGGAGGTGTTTGGAACTGATTCTGCTTTTGCTTTTTTAAAGCAGAATCAGAATCATTTTTCAGAAGTTAGTCTCTCTATCTTCTAAAACAACTGATTCTAAGAATAAATTATAACACCAAAATCACTTTCACCTAAACACTCCAGCTTTTACCGAGGAGCGTAATAGAATATCCAAACACCCCCAAGGTACAATAGCATTCGAGTATTTTTTTTGGTAAAAAATAGCATTCGAGTATAGAGTATAGACTGAAAGTTGAAGCTGCTCGGCTGCTTCCAATAATCCAATGTATCGCTTAGGGATGGGCACGGTCCGGTCCGGTCCAATATTTGGTCGAACCCGTACCCGTACCGTTACTATTGAAACGGTTCGGTACGGTTCGGTCTTGGACCCAAACCCGTTCGGTTCGGTCCATTTTCAAACGGGACGGTATCATGCCATACCAATACCAAACAATGTCACTTTTTCCATGTGTTTAAGAAAAAATTAAAGTTTAGCCATCCTCAAAAAATCCACACAATTTATCAATTTTCATACATCATACTACCTTCATTCCAAATTGATTTACAAAGTCAATCTTTTTTTGGTCAAATAATTTCTTTTTATTCACTTAATTAGAATTTCACTTTTTAATTATATTCTAATTTGGCCTTTCAAAAAAAATACTCCATACTTCGTATATTTTAATTTGGATTTTGCAAATTTAGAGAGATTTTAATGTGTTTTCTAAATATGTAAATTTTAATTATTAAAAATCGTATTAATTATCAAGAACTTAACATTAACTTTGACAAAAAATGTTGGCTTTGCAAATCAATTTGGGACGGATGAGGTAATTAATATATTTTAGATAAACTATAGTAGTACAAATTTAATAAACCATACTTCGGTCCGGTTCGGTCCGGTACCGGTTCTCATTTTATGAGAACCGGTCATGACATTGTTTGGAACCGGTTCGGTCCGGTTCAGGACAAAAATTTTGAGATCCGTTTCAAACCCCGTTTATCGGTCCGGTACCATACCGGTCCGGTTCGGTATCATTACGGTTCGGTATTTTTGAGGTATATACGTGTCCACCCCTAGTATCGCTACCATTAAAACTAAAAACCTGTACGATTCGGTTGCCGACACAACTTTGGCGCAGTGATGGCGTACACCAACAGCGGAGACGTTCTAATGCTTGAGGCGCCGCCCGGGGCTCAGCCGGCTTGGTCCAGCGGCTCAGAACTAATCGACGCTTTGCCGTATATCGACGACGACTATGGCGATCCGAATGTAAAAGCAGAGGTAGACCGTTTAGTCGAGGAAGAGATGCGCCGCAGCACCAAAAAGCCCTCCGACTTTCTCAAGGACCTCCCTCCTCTTCCCAAGTTCAAATTTGAGGTATACGTGTACACTTAAACGCAGCTGCTGCCTTTAACGATAACCAATTCCCTTTTCTAAGGGGTTTGAGCTGTAGATTCTAGGGTTGCATTTCAAAATTTGACATCCATGTGGTTGATTTTGGAGGTTGAATGATAACTCTATTTTTAATGCTATTTCTAGAACCATCCAATGCTAGCAAGAGAATATGAACGTGTTAGAGCTGGGAAGCCTCCTGTGCAAATTGACACGTCAAGATATGGACTTGAAGTGCCGCAGGGAAATAAACGGAATGATGAATCAACCTGGAAACAAGCTCTTCAGAAAGCTCAGCGCTTATTGCAGCATCAAGTGATTAGGTATGATTCATGCTCATCAGCTGTTTGAGTAATTGCATTATGCTGATTTATATTCCCTAATGGGGAACTGGGAGAAGCAGTCAGGTAATTTAATAATTTATACATTCAGGTAACCCCACAACAACAAGGCTTAGTCTGAGAAGAGTTTGACCAGGGCGAACATATTTGTAACATCGGTTATGCAAATGAATAATAATAATATGGATCATTAGCTTATTTTATCCCAAACTATTATTAAATTCACAAATCTATCCTATTCTTTCACTTTTATCAAAAAGACTCAAACTTCATCTTTTTCAACATTTCTACTTTTCTTTTTTGTGCTTTCAAAATTACATATTTTTATCAATACCAATAAAATATAAGCAATACAAATTTGTAAACTTAAAAGTAGAAAGAATTGAAAAAAATGTGAAATATAAATATGATTTTCTTCTTAAGTTTTACTAATTCTTCCATTGGAAGTGTAATTGTGAGGAAAGTTAAAGTTTGAGACAACTTTGAGTCTTTTTTTAATAAAAGTCAAAGTATGGGATATATTTGTGAATTTTTTGATAGTTGGGGATATATTTGGATAATAATCATAATAATAATAGTAAATAGTGCTCTCTCTGCCCAGCTTAAGCTTTTCACTTTCCCTTTTGGACGTCTCTGCTAAAGCTTCCCATAACAAGTGCTAGTATTAGGATCCTCATTTCAACTCATAACAAGTGCTTCTCTAAAAGCAATATGGATACAAGCAAATTTACAGTTAAGGAGGTATTGGATATCCACCCATACTCATATATAGTGACTCACTGCTCCCTTTCCAGGTTACTCACAGAGTGATATACATTATATGAGCTGGCCATATTTCTGAGGCAGTATCCTGTTCTGGTTTGTGGAGTTGCCTGGAGTGAGTCTCCAAGTGAGGAAAAGTCATTTTGTGGATCCTCCAAGGCCCAATAGACCAAACTATCAAATCTCAAAGATAACACCACCATTTTATTTTTGAAAACATATTTTACAAGTGTCAAAGTGCCACTTCAAACACTCATCCTAAAGTTCTAATGTTAAAGTACTGCAGTCTGCATATACGATACTATATGTTGATATTAGAATATCAATTCAACACCATATGCTAATATTATAATTTTGGGTGAATGAGAAATTAGTGCTCAAAGTTAGCTGCTTAAATGAATCTAAACAAAGATGAGAAATGATTTGTTGTTCATCCCACATTGAAAACACAACTTGAAGTTGCTGCTAAGGTGAGAAGTAGGTTAGGACCCTAAGTGCTTTCAATTTTGTTGAAGAGGAATTATGGAAATACATATGAACTGTGGGTTTGAAATAAAACCCACATGAAAAAATCCCACGTGCAGTCAGTTAGGTCTCATGGTCACAGCCTTGGACTTGTATGGATTGCACCGAATTCGAGTTGGGCCTATCGTTCTAATATATGTTTTCATAGCCATAAAAGGCTGTCCTCTGCCTGTCTTTCTATTCTGCAAAACAACACAGTTCAACTATGCATTTCATGATGCCTTTTCTGATAAGTTCTCAGATTTCTTAACAGTAATTTGATTATTATTACTGATATCAACTGCAGAAAGAAGAAGAAATACAATTGAGGCACTTGAGAGGCACTCACTCTCCAAAACCCAAGTCCTGATTCTAAAGTCTGCCTACCTCCTTCCTCCCCTCCTTCCTCCCCTCCTTCCCTCTCTTATAGTATTTCTATTCTAACAGCCCAGCCCATATTATATGACATGGCCCAGAATACTTGTTTATACAATACCATACTTATTTAATATCAATCTATCACTATTATTATTATTATTATTATTATTATTATTATTATTATTATTATTATTATTATTCTCTACAGCCCAGGGCCCTATCATATCTCCCCCCTTGAAAAACCACCTTGTCCTCAAGGTGGGTGATAGGACAAAGCCTTGATCTTCAACTTCATCTTCATCCGAGCACCTCTTCCTTCCCAGTAGCTAACTGATGGCGGAACCATGAGATTGCTTGCCTGAGAAACACACTGATTTTCGGGATCATTGTAATTGTTTTGTTCCTCATGATCATATGGTTCTGTTTGATCTTTTCTTTCAATATCCTTCTCTGGATGTGCTAGCTGCGAAATGGTCAAACTGCCAATGCTGCTAGTCATTAAAATAAGGTGTCCGCCTCTGGTTAAGCACCAAGAAAGTTCCTCACTTTCATATGAGATTCCACCTTCTGGTTTCACAGTGCTTTGAGGGAGACCCATAGATGCCTTAGTAGATAAGACCAGAAATCTTGAGCTAGAGGGACTGTACATTAGAAACAAAACCGAGGGTGAACCAATATCAAACAGAACAACCTGGCGGCTTTCAAGCCCCATAACCCATTTGGATCCTGATGCCATGGACTGCCAGAAGCATACTGGGGAGCTGACAAGCGAAAAGATAGCGGTGCATTGATACCTAGCACCATTTGGGAAAAAGGAAACTTCAGCGTTGGGTTCAATGAGCAAATGCAGTCTTGCTTTCTGAGAGCCAGAGTTGCTGCTAAGCATGTCATAGGGAACTTGGCCAGATTCGTTTCCAATAGCAACACTCAAAAAGTTAGTGGAAGAGTCTAGAGCTGTTGTAACTGCACTAGTACTAATGCTTTCCAAGCTCTTCACCACAGATACGATAGCCCTAAAGGTGTAGAACCATACAGACTCATCATAATCAACACCTTTCTCAAGATTCTCTTTTTCCAAGATATAGTCATTCTTCACCCCATAACCCTTCATGTAAGAGTATTCCTTATTACCATAAGCTGACCCTACTGCCTTTGGGTAATTTCCCCCAAAACCCGCTCCTTGTGCACATATTTCTCCAAGCAATTCCCTTGACCTAGCCTCGCCCTGAACAATATCTTTACAAAACCTTGACAATGCTTTGGCATGGGTATACCCCACTCCCTTAACAGCTCCTTCACTGGATAAAACTGATCTCTGAAAGTTCAGTTCATGCCCTCCTGTCAAAGTGCCAAGCCACGAGTTGGTGGGTGAAACAAGGTACTTGGGGACATTCAATACAGCAGCCTGGATAGTATCGTCCAGATTCACATTGGTTCCACCCCATTGGTATTCTGAATTAAAGCCAATAACATCACCAAGATTCTTAAAATTGTCAACAGCACCAATCTCTTTTATTTCATCAACCTTTTCTTCAACACGGCTACCAAAAGTAAAATTATCAGCCCCTTTTAGTCCCATATCTGAGGAGTCCAAGGATAGAAGCATGACAATCTTATGTTCATTAGCATCCCTTATGTTCTTTCGAACTGAATGTCCAAAGTAGGCCAAATTTGTATCCCCATACCATCTGTCTTCCTCAGAAAGCACTCCTAAAGAATTCCTGACTTTACAACTATATTTACTAGGAATGACTTTGGTGAACAAGAATTCACTGCTCTCATTCGTTACCTGATTTAGTTTCCTACTGTTCTTGCTTTTTCCATCCATATGTACAAGAGTACGGGAAGTTAAAGAACTAGGAAATTTTCCTATCATCCCTGCAACAGAACTAATTTCAGGAATATAAACCTGAACAACAGATGATTGTTCCTGGCATACATTTTCACTTTCCTTGAGCTTAGATGTATTTTCGTCAAGTTGCTTCAAATTCATTTCATCATAAGGAAGTGGCTGTGGACTCGCAGAATCCGGAGGGTGCGATGTAGCTATTTGCGAACTGCTAGGGGCGGTTTGCGACCAAACCTGCGCACTCGGATGCTTGGCTAGCGATTGCAAAGTGGAGACTTCTGATTGCGATACAGTATGCGAACTGAGAGAAGTCGTACGCATCAGCGAAGTAGGAGAAACGACAAACGATGCTGACTGCGAGTACACCTGCGGACGATTGAGAGAAACCGTTTGCGATGATGATTGGTGATGAGAAACAATTCTTGACGAAGCCAGAGAAGTGGAAGGGTTTTCTCGCGAGTGAGAACTGGAAGATTTTGTCCGCGAAGATTTCTGCGAACTGAGAGATCTTTGCAACCGCGATCGTCTTCTCACCTGAATTTGTTCGTTCATCGAGTCTAGCTGTCTGTCCATGTTTTCCAGCATCTTCATAATATCTTCATAATATCTGCTAAAGTCTTGTTTATGGATGTCTGCGTCTTCTCTAGCGAATCCATCTTCTTCTCCATGCTTGGTGTATAGACTTCTTCCATCGATACAAGTAGTTGATGTTCTCGATCGAATCAAATCCTCTGCCGCCAGGAAGTTAGTGCTCTGGTACGAACCTTTCACCAAATTGGGCGGAAAAAAATTTGGCGATCTTCAACGCAAACTTAGGTCACCAGAAGCATGCTCTGATACCATTGATAAGTTCTCAGATTTCTTAACAGTAATTTGATTATTATTACTGATATCAACTGCAGAAAGAAGAAATACAATTGAGGCACTTGAGAGGCACTCACTCTCCAAAACCCAAGTCCTGATTCTAAAGTCTGCCTACCTCCTTCCTCCCCTCCTTCCCTCTCTTATAGTATTTCTATTCTAACAGCCCAGCCCATATTATATGACATGGCCCAGAATACTTGTTTATACAATACCATACTTATTTAATATCAATCTATCACTATTATTATTATTATTATTATTATTATTATTCTCTACAGCCCAGGGCCCTATCATTTTCTTTCTTATCTCCACTAAAATATGTGCTCTGTATGTATTTACTATTTTTGTTGGATGAGTTTATGAACTTGTTTATTTACTTGGATGCTTCATACTGTAGGCTAGAAAATCTAGACCTGATGTTAATTCACGGCCCTGATGCATGGAAGGTATACAACCAAAGACTGGAGGCTTTTTTAGCCAGGTAGGGTTGCTGATTAAGATCTCTTTGTTAAAAAATAAACATAACCTTTACATTATTCTAGCCTTGTGATGCCTAAAGTGGTGTCAAACTGTCAATATGCTGCTGAAAAAAATATCATCTTGATATATTAATTACAAATGAGGATTCAGATTACGTTTGCAATTTAATCCTTTCATATTGAATTTAGGAAAATGATGCTGAAAAAAATATCATCTTGATATATTAATTACAAATGAGGATTCAGATTACATTTGCAATGGAGCCAAAGATTCACTATTTTTTGGCTTAGGAATATGATGGAATAAAGCAAAATGACTTGCTAAACTGACTGCGCTTCTTTGTTATGAAGCAGCAGTCAGTGCATGCAATTTTTGACGCGATTTTCACCTCGGGTCATTCGGAAACAGTCTCTTTGTGCTTTAGCACAGGGTATGGCTGCGTACATCCGACCCCCTTACCCCACCATAGGTAGGAGCCTTTGCGGCACTGGGGTAATGATGATGATGATGATGATATTGAGTTCAGGACTGAATCTCAAATGTCCTGTTTCAGAATGCAGTCAGAGGCTATTAAATTAAATGAGAATATTGAAAGTGTAAATCGGGAAAGGAAGTATCACCAGGTAAGCATTTGTATACTAGTACTGATTATTTATTTTTGGGAAAACTGTCACATAGGCCCTTTTAGTATATAAAAAAAGTCAATTAAGCCATCAAACTTAAAAACGCCCAATTAAGACCATGAACTTTAGAAAAACGGTCAAATTTATAATAGTAAATTGATTCTCGGTTAGTCAGTCACTTGGTTACCTGGCAATCCCGGTGGCTTATTTTAAAGTTTTCCTTTCCTCCCTCTTCTTTGTTCTACACTTCTACCCATCCTTCCACCCCTGCTTCTTTTTTCTTCCAGGCAAGCAGGACTGCACATCTTTCTCCCACCCTGCTTTTTTCTTCCAGTCATGCAACACTGTCATATCTATAAAGAATTATTAATATCACTCTGTATTATATTTCATTTGACTGAATAAAATTATGCAGTTGGAACTGGTTGTACTCTCCGTCGCTCGCAAATCCTCTATTTTTCCGGCGACTCCGAAGCAGTATCCCCAAACTCCCTACAATTGCTTTCCAGTTTTTCCTTTTATGCGGCTAACATCCAAGGTTCAGCCTCCATCATAGCTATCTAGTCTTGGGTCAAAGAAGAAGAAGAACCAGTCTAGCCATTCGCATACAGGGAGAGAGGTGCAAGACCAGATTTAGAATATTCCGGATCTCCGTCACAAAGTTACTTCTTGTTTTCCCACGTGGGTCGCCACAAGAAAGCTCAAGACTTCTGCTGCCAAATTTGCTGGCAATCTAATGAGATCAAGGATTTGGTTGCACAAGAAAGAAGAAAGGGGGAGAAAAGTCGGGTGGGGCGGAAGAAAAAAGGGAGAAAGAAGAGAAATAAGGAAAAAAGAAAGGTGTTGCTTTGGGAGGACGGATTACCAGTGGAAGAAAAAAGAAGGGGTGGAAGAAAAGAAGGGGGAGAACTTGATGGGGTGGAAGAAGGAGAACAGGAGAATAAAAGAAAATGAAAAAGAAAAGAAATGAAATGAAATGAAAAACAATAAAATAAAAAGTCACATATGCAAGTGACCGAATAACCGGGAATCAACCTACTAGATTATAAATTTGTCATTTATCTAAAGTTCGTGGTCTTAGCTGGGTGGTTTTTATGTTCGAGGGCTTAATTGACTTTATGATGTACAGTGGGGGGCTGAGGGATTATTTGGCAGTTTTCCCTTTATTTAATCATTTAGCGTCGTAATAAGTTGGAGATATGCTTCATTTGACTTTTACCAGCAAAATACTGCATACGAGCTGAATGCCTTGTCCACACAATGGAATGAACTCTGTTTGAAAAACAGAGAAATTCAAGTTGCATGTTTTCATGTTGAAAATCAGATTGAAGAGATGAAGAAGATTGCTCTCGAGAGGTATTTGACCTTTTTCTTGGTGTATAAGGATCTTGGGATTGTGTTTTTGCCCATTCATTTTTATATATAGTACTGCTTGCATTGATATTTTATATTTATTTATAGCTAGTATGTTTTACTAATGAAGTTTCCATCAGGGGTTGGGACGTGGAAGGTAGAACGGAGAACGGTTCATTGGTGTCTGCAGAGATCTAAGCTGTGGTATGTAAATCAAATTAATTCCATTTGTCAGATCTTTTTTCCCCTTATGTGTTATATTCGAGGGCTTTCACTTTCTTTACATGACAGCGAATAGACAAAACGGCAGTAATGTATTGAAGTACTCAACTTCTCAAGATATGCATATTAGGGCATAAAGTAATGTGAACATGACCAACTATTATTAGAAGTTTGCTTTTCCAAGTGGATAGATATCTTTATATCCTCATTTGTGCAGTTTTTTCCTCATTTTGGATATGGGCATTGATAATATAAGGAGTAGAAATAACGGGAAATTGAACACCTAGTATATTTGCTGATAAATAGGAAAGTTTAAACAGGGGAAAACGTGTCAAAAACACCATCTGAAGAAGCAGAGAATCAAGGCATGTCTCATTACTACATGACACTAACTCTTTATTCTTTATCGACTAGATCCGCACATTTAGCTAATAGAATTTCTTATGCTTCTTTTCCTTGATCTTTTTAATCTGCCCCAGATTGTTGGCCTAGTTCGTCAAGATCTTCAGGACAGCTGGAATTTATGTCTAGAAGAGAGCAGAACAGATCAACAGCTGACTTTCAAATTGGTCGATGTATCAAGAATTTCTTTGATGTCACTCTTGATTTGATTCCTAAGGTTGATGATATCTGAAAACATTTAGCCATCGACATGGGGTTCACGACTTCTAAACCACTTCCTTTTCCCCTCTCATGAGTTATAATGTACAAGTACATCACCGGAATCGAGTTTCATAATGGATTTTGGTAAACTGCCTGTTTGGATAACGATCGGTAAGGTCCATAATGGATTTGGTAAGTGATAAGTTGATAACAATCTGTAAGGTTCGGCAATAGGCGGGAACATGGATGGAATTGAGTTGCAGTTCTAACTTCTAATCTTTTGGTACTTGGTTATATTTATTTCAAAATATTCCAATGAATTAGCAAATGGAGGCTCCATACTTCCAAGTCTGTTAAATCAAAATTTTAAAGGATTGTTTTCTTGTGCAGACGTTATGTCAAGTACAAACGCACCCTTTTATTTCTGTTTCTAAAAGCACAATATTTCTTTATTGAAAGAGATTTAGGGAGTGTTTGCATTTTCTTCCGCTTTATAAAAATGATTTTTAAAGTGATTTTGGAGGAAGTGCTTTATAGTAAAAGTTGATGGTGTTTGAGAACAGAAGTGATTGTAGTTGTAGTAAAAGTTGAAGTATTTGATAAAAAAGTGATTTTGATGTAAGAATTTAAGTACATAAATGCCCCTTTCTTAAATTAAATGCAATTCCTTTTTTCTTGAAAGCTCTTTCCGGACTTCACCCACCAACCTAGATCGTATTATTCATTTGCTGGTGACTGTTCTTCTTGGCCGTAAAAGAGATAAATGTGGAGTTGTGTAACTTGTGTTCTTCTTGACTGACTTCTTCAAGATAAACAAATTTTTAGATTCAACAATTTCTTGGTAGCCTTCCATGGCTTGCATCAGGTAAGTTTATGTATATATAATTCCCAAAAAAAATCCAGAAGCAAAAAAAAACAATACTCCATTACCAGGTCTGCAACAATCTTCTCCAGTTCTCCTTCTTTAGAATTTCCAAAACATTAAGGTTGACCAAATAATATCAAATTACGAAAAGAGTCCCAATCCCCAAAATCTGATATGCCCATATGAAGAGAAAATTGTTGAAGCCAATTCCAGTAGTAAAATTCGATTTGGGATTGTCAAAGAAATCGTTCTGATTAGGGGTGGACAATTCGGTTTACGGTTCGGTTTTCTTCGGTTTCGGTTCGGTTTTGGTTTATTCGGTTTGGGAGAATTTGTACCAAACTAAAACCATTTGTGTTTCGGTTTGGTTTCGGTTCGGTTCCGGTTCGGTTCCGGTTCGGTTCGGTTTGGTGTTCGGTTTACCAAAGTATATAAATGTTGTAATATTCACAAATATCTTTTCATATAGGTAGAGTACAAACATAACAAATACAGAGTACAAATATGTCATTAGCGAACTTTGTCATTATGAATGTATAAAATGTGTAATTGTTAGAATGATATATGCTAAATTTGTATTTTTCATGTCTAAATTATTTATTTATATCCTAAAGATGAAGAGTGAAAAAAATAAAAAGTATTTATATAATTTACAAGTTCGGTGTTCGGTTCGGTTTACGGTTTTTCGGTTTTAAATCAAACCAAACCAAACCATTTGATTTGAGCAAAATGCTACCAAACGGTTTACTTAAGCAAAATCAAACCAAACCAAACCACCAATTTTCAGTTCGGTTCGGTTCGGTTCGGTTCGGTCAAACCAAACCATTTTGCCCACCCCTAGTTCTGATGCGTCGCTGCGAAGAGAATCGAAGAAGAGAGTGAATGAATTTGTTGAGGAGGAAGGAGCCGGTGAAGTGATGCGCTGCAGAAAAAGAAAGAAGAAGTCCTAATATAAATTGACATGAAATCAGTGTTAGAAAAAAAGATAAAAATGATTAAAAATGAAAAAGATAAAATATGATAAAGAGAAAGATAAACAGATAAAAAAAGATAGGAGTAATACTACGTATAAAGATCAAAAGATAAAAAAAACGATAAGATGGAAGTAATATAAAGATAAAGATAAAAAAGATATGTAGGACAAATAAATGAAATGAGATGAATCCTCCATATATTCCATCTTGCATGTTCAAGATTCTTAGTAATATCCATTACGTCATATTTTACAAAGTCTACAATGTCCTAAACCATCTTTTTTATTGCTGCCTTGAACAAAATATAGGGAGTAATTATATTTTCACTCATTTGTTCATAATATTAAAAATAACAGCAGACAAAGCAGAGCAACAACTCAGAGCAGCCCTAGAGCGAGACATAGAACTAGCTAGCCCCGGAAGGCCGTGCCAGATCGCTAACTCCACACTATGGTAGGCTAATCTGTATTGTTGGTAAACAAATGGATCATTTATAATTTGGATTTCACGAGCAAATTTTTGACTTGAGAAATTAATAATCATAAGAAACAAAGGTTATCAATCATCATTGGTGTTATTTTTACTTTAGAGCCAACCACTATTTTGACACTTTTTTCATCCAATTTTTGCAGCAAAATTTGCTAATAAAGGTGCAATATTATTATAATTACGGAGTATATAACTATACTTTGTTTTCACATTTAAAATTTACTCTGTATTATATTTATCAAGAAAATTAAGAGTAAACTTGTCTTGCCACTTGCTAGTAGTTACTGATTGCAAAGAATGTAAGCAAGTTGGGGATCAAACTGCATTGTTGTTAGAGGTCGTACTTACCTTGCTGCCATATGGTGAGATTGTTGTGTTGAATAATCTATATCTCACTTTTTCACGTCAACAGGCATGTATCCTCAGAGTAAAGTGAATTTGCCTGTAAATGTAAAGTGAATTTGCTTGTTAATGTGTAAAATATTTGCTCTTTTGTGTTTTCTCTTTCTTTACCTCAACTAAACAATCATTTTAAATTGGTAAAATGGTCAGATAGATCACCAAACTTACATAAAAAGGTCAAGTAAGTCTCTGATGCAGGAGGCTCTATCCAGCCGTCCCCATTTGGGACGGTTTCCGGTGTAATTTTTTGATGAAATATTTTGAACATCTTATTCATTAAGTCTAGTTTACTCATACCAAATTTCAGCTAAAACTTCAATCGGAAAGGCATTCAAGTGAATTCTTGAAGATAACAGCGCAATCAAAAGCGCGGTTATCTTCAAGAATTCATTTGAATGCTTTCCCGATTGAATTGTTAGTTGAAATTTGGTATGAGTAAACTAGACTTAATGAATAAGATACTCAAAAAGTTCCATAAAAAAATCAACCCGAAACTGCCTCAAATGGCGATGGCCGGACAGAGCCTTCTATATAAGGGCTTATTTGACCTTTTAATGTAAGTTTGAGGGCCTATTTAACCGAATTCTCTTTCAAATTATTAGATACATAGTTTGAATAATTGAATTGATTGAAAACTTTTAGTTGCACATTTGCACCTTCGCGGTAAGATTACTACACAAATACTTCGTATCAATGCGCGCTTGGAATTCTTTTAGAAATGTGGTGATTAGATCGATGTTACCTGTACACTTTGTACACACTATCTACTTGTCTGTGTACATAGGAGTTTTGCATAGGAATTTCGTAATTAGATGCTGTGTACACAAGCAACTGAGGGGAGGTGTACAACAAATGTGTACAATAAGTGTACAAATGACTTTTTTTAAGATTGCATGGCAGATTGGTAAAAGGTGGAAAAGGATGTTGCATACGGATTGTTACACCAAGGCATACACAATTGAGAAAGTCCTATCGTACACGTGAGAAGTCTTACACGCCTGGTTGGGGGGGTGAGGTGTACAATAAATGTGTACAAAACGTGTAAAAATGGCTTTTTTTTCAAGATTGCATGACAGATCGGTAAAATGCTGAAGGGGGTGTTGCATACAAATTGCTACACCAAGGCATACACAATTGAGAAAGTCCTATCGTACACGCGAGAACGCTTGCACGCCTGATTTTGTGTGCACAAACAACGGGGTACAATAAATGTGTACAAAAAGTGTAAACATGAGTTTTTTCAAGATTGCATGGCAGATTGGCAAAAGGCGGAAGGGCGTGTTGCATACGGATTGTTACACCAAAGCAAACACAATTGAGAAAGTCCTATCGGACACGCGAGAAGGCTTACACGCCTGGTTTTGTGTGTACAAACAACTCTTATTTCGTTTTTAAGGTGAATTGTCTTTAACATAAAATATTTTTGTAAGATAATTTTTCTTATAAATGTCACAAACAATTCACCTTATAAATGAAAAATATGTGTACATAGACAAAACAGGCGTGTGAATGGCATGCATAAGGCTTTATGAGGAGGACACTATGAGCCCGTTTATAATGTTCAAATTGGCTGTATTGACAGACTCTACAAATCCTTCTGATTAATGAAAAAAGTTATATTTAAAATATATTATTAACAAAATAAAGAAAAAATAACATGAAAAACGATTAAAACCTCTATAGTAACTCCATCCAATTCACAAAAAAGTAACTTCAAGTCTTCAACCTTACTTTTTTTTTTGTTATTACTGAATTTAATACGTAAAATAAAATTTATATGTTTGGTAAAAAAAGACTTATAAACCAAAAAACATGTCGATCAAACAGGCTCTACTCTATATAGGTCTGATGTGTAATGTTTTTTGGACCTAAATAGAAAATTACTTAAATAGAAGTAAAACATAACAAGACTTAGTGAATTTTTTATCCTTTAATTCTTTTAGAGCCCGTTTGGTAGCACGAAAATCGGTTGTTTTGGCTGATTTTGCTGAAATTTATGAAGTTGTGGCTGAAGTGACTGCATTGACTGATTCTGCTAATTTAAGAAAAAATTATTTTTAAAATATACTTTATTAATAAAATAAAGAAAAAATTATATGTAAAAATAGCTAAAATGGTCATCTACAGTAACTTCAGCCAATACAGCCAGAAAAGTAACTTCAACCTTACTTTTTCTGCTTATTACACAATTCAGCGCGCGAAAGCAAAACTTACGTGTTTGGTGAAAAAGCTGGCTGATAAGCCGAAAAACAGTGTTACCAAACAGTCTCTTAATAGGATTACGTAAATCCTATATTTTGAGAAGAACCGCTTTTAATCCTATTTGAGATTTTTTTCTATGTTTAACTCCTATATTGAGAAATTTCTATAAAATAATATCATCAGGTTATATATAAAGGGGATGGGTTGGCCGTTGGGGTTAATATGGGTAGCTGTCTCCACTGCCCTCAGAGTGGATACGCCACTGTTTCGAACCTTGATAAAAACTTGTAGCTGGATAGATGAGCAGGGGGCAAATAGTGTTTTGTAGCTGATACTGTGCTTAGGCCTGAGACTTAGAACCGGAAAACCGGGAAACCCGCCCGAACCGAACCGAAATTTGCGTTGGGTTCTTACCCATTTGGACTTTTCACTTTTTCGGTTCAGTTCCTAAAGTCCCGTAAACAGTTCGGTTCCGGTTTTTAAAGAAATTACATTATTAGAACTGGTTAGAACCGAAATATGTGTATAATT